TTTTCCAGTCATCAAGCAAGTTTCTCTTCAAGATATTGCAACGATGCATGCTAAGTACAATACACGCAAGGCGCTWGGCTATAGAAGAACGTATGGACACAAAAAGGGATGCAGGAAAGATATAACATTTGTCTTTTCTGCACAAGTACAGCTGACACATGAAAAATTGGGAAACGGAAAATGGAAAAAGAAAAATGCTTGTTACTAACTGTATTTCTTTTTAAAAAAAATTAGAAATATGACAACAAATTCCTCCTTGTAGAGGTGATTGCAGGGTGTCCAAGATCTAAGCCAACTGCATGATTCTTTTGTGTTTAAAACAATAAATTTCAAGGACGTTATATTGATATCATGTATGTGATGTTTGTGAAAAGCCCCTCCTCTCCCTGGACACGCCCATGACGCAGGAAACTCATGTCATGACTTCATTTGAATATTGACATGTTTAATGATATTTATTCAATCAGATTCTCATGGATGCTCATTACAAATACATTCATTTTTGTCAGTCTTTTCTAATCTAATCATCATCCAATGAAAAGAATCAGATGTGAAAGATGGATCTCACCGGCGACCCTTTTTTATCTTTATTGAAATACGGATTCTTATACGGATTCTTATTTTCCATCCTCTTTTTATCATGCGGTTACTGAATCCCCGGCGGCGACGCACTTCAAACCCTACCTTGCACATACTACCGGAGGTTATTTTCACTTTCTTTAAGTCTTGGTCAAGCTTGCGCTTGACATTTTTTCCAAAAACACCTATAAGGGATGAATACGATTAGAGATAATTGGTTACATAAACTACTTTATAATCTGCTGTTAGCATTGGGTGGAATTGGGGATAAAGAGGTGGACAATCCAGCATTCTAAAAAAGTCGAGAAAAGCTTATTTTTATATATAGTTTGTTAGATGCTACAGCCTCATGGACTACTGCCAATGACGTGTTCTAATTCTAATTGCTAATTGAGAGTCGAATATTGAAAGTTTCAAAATTGTTATTCAAAGAGCTACTAGTAGTCTCAAATTTGATTGAGAACAAGTAAACCCAAGATGTAAGATGGTAAATATAGCTTGCCTTTCAATAGTACGTCAAGTTCCTTCTCTATCTTTCCAGCCTGGCTACACGGGACTCTCTTGTAATAGAAACGGCTCACGGTGTCCTCTCTCCTGCCATCGCTAGTTCTCTTTACTTTAGTGTTTTTTTCGACCTGGTATCCATGGGCTTTAAGTTTTGCATTATGTAAAATTCTCCTCATCTTCCTTATTGTAAAGGGCCTTTTCTTGAAGACTTTCAAAACAAACGAATCCTGAGCCTCATTACCTGAAAATGAATTGGTATAAATGAGATAAGAATGAATGAATGAAAAGAAGATGAAAAAGAAGATAATAAAGTAACAAAAAAAAAAATGCTGAAATAAGTTAACGGCAGTTCTACACTTAAAACGATACTTGAGAAATATATAATTTACGTAATGAAATAAACTTAAAAAAATTCAGTTTATCAAACGTTTCTTCTACAAAAACGATTAGTATTTACCACTATTGTCAGCATTGATCCACACAGAAATCATAGTCACCAATACAAGGACAAGGAAAGTCTTCATTGTTAATCTCGTTGCGTAGCGTGAACTTGATATCTTGAATTTTTGATACTGAAGTCTCTCTGATGTCCAACCAAAGTGAACGGTTCCTTTTATGTGCTTTAGATCGCTTTTAGTGTGGTTAGGACGGGGGAGTTGTCTCGACACGTTGCTAGGTTCCCGCGCAAAAGCAAAAACAAAAACTCTTAACAAGTTTATTCCAAATTTTTCTAAAACATAATTAAAACCTAAACATCCCGTCGCGATGGGACCTAGAGTTATTTGTAAACAATTCTATTTTTGATATGTTGATGAAAATCAAAAAGCATCGGCAAAATTTTACTGAGGCGAGTTACCTTGGYTGGCCTCTTACTAGCTCCATGTACGACCCTGAGTCAATACTATAAATTAAGAAAGACTTCAGTTACAGTTTTAACTATAAAAAAGTTTGATTTTGTTAACGACAGAGCTAAAAAAAGAGGGTGAGCTGAAATCAACAATTAAAAAAATTTGATTTCATACCAATAAGGGAACGAAATTCTTTGTTTTTCACGTCAAGTATTCATGTGACAGCATTGTAGGGGGGAGCRCCATGGCGCCACGGTCGATGCGCATCGTATCCATAATTTCGTGAGATACATGATCAATTATATTTATATCAATTTGAGTTTCTGTAAGAACTTGAAAATTATATATATATATATACTTTCTTTTTCACTTTCTTCTTACACTTACAAGGAAGGGCGAGGTCAGCAGAACGGAAGGYTAAATCCATTTTTCAAGCTTCCTTTACCGCTTCCTTTCACGTATAGTCTTTCCTAATGGATATCTCAAAGAGCAGCAAGTTGTTTTTTGTTGTGGAATATTTGATATTTGAGAAACAATTAAAGTTGATCAACAGTATGGCTATATCATCAAAAAAGTCTCTCGACCAATTTGCCCAATTTGCGCGTTTAATACAATACTGAATGAAGCCGATGTTTTATTTCTGCTTTTAAAGACTGCAGTATTTAGAAACAGTCTTTTATTACATTATCTTATTTAGGAGACATTGTGATCAAGTCAAACTGGTAATTTCCACAGGGTKGTTTTCGTCTTTTTCTGCAACTATCCTTTACATTTTATTTGAGTTYATTGTTTCTTAGTAAAGGCAAGATAATTCCATCGAAGGATTATATGTTACTTTCTCAGGGGAAGATGATTTGATGGTAACTATTTTTAGCATGTTGATTAAAAATGTTGTATGATCTGATTTATATTTTTATTATTAATTATATGTATAATACCATCAAAGAGTTGTCTATTCCAAAGTGTGAATAAGTATCAGTGTTTATACTCCATCATTAATGTCTTTGCTCTATTGCCTTAGAAATTATACATAAAGGCAGTAAGTGTAGATGTGTCAGAAAAATAATAGCATCATAGACTTGATGATTATGCCCTGTGAAGATTGGTCCTCAGTATGTACATGGCTCAATATCATTTCTCATCTCATGAGTCCATTATATTGTTCCACAGTTATATATTTCTCATCTCATGAGTCCATT